ATAGAAAGTACACATTGACTATAGAAAGTACACCTGGACTATAGAAATTACACATTAACTATATAAAGTACACCTGGACTATAGAAAGTACACATGGACTATAGAAAGTACACATTGACTATAGAAAGTACACCTGGACTATAGAAAGTACACATTGACTATAGAAAGTTCACCTGGACTATTGAAAGTACACAAAGACTATAGAAAGTACACATGGACTATAGAAAGTACACATAGACTATAGAAAGTACACCTGGACTATAGAAAGTACACCTGGACTATATAAAGTACACAGGAACTATAGAAAATACATATGGACTATAGAAAGTACACTTGGACCATAGAAAGTACACCTGGACTATAGAAAGTACATCTCGACTATAGAAAGTACACAGGAACTATAGAAAATACATATGGACTATAGGAAGTGCACCTGGACTATAATAGGAAGTGCACCTGGACTATAGAAACCACACCTGGACCTGTCATTCTGTGTCTGTTTCTACTTCCTGTCCTCTCAGACCCAGCTGGTGGAAGCAGATGTCCACTCGTCCTGATCCTGGTTCTACTGGAGGTTTCTTCCTGTTATTGGGAGTTTTTTCTTCCCACTGTCTCCTCTGTTCTTGCTCAGGATGAGAGACTGATGAAGTGAAGATTCAACACAATCTGCTGCTTCCTCAGCCAGAGAACTTTTACTCATTGTCCAGATAAAAGTTTTATGAGCTCAATCAGATAAAAACAAAATTGTTTACATCGTGTCATATGGACCAGTTTCTTTAAGTATTTGGTTGACAGGCCGCAGACTGATGAAGTCCTCTGGATGGGGATGAAACGTTTCCTCAGTTAAAGAAACTGGTCCAGATAACATGATTTAACTATTTTTGTTTTTACTGATTGTCTTTTATAAAGTCTGTGAATGTTTCTGTTCAGTGTCCTGAGACAACTTCTGTTGGAACTTGGAGATACAAAATAAAATGAATTGAAATTCAACCTTTATTTCTACAGGTTAGTCCCATTGAGCCTCAGGGACTCATTTACAAGAGAGACCTGATTTTAACAAAGAATGATGACAACAATGAATAACAACAACAATAGACAATCATAATAAAAATTGAATTTAACCTGAAACCTCAGAGGGACATTTCCGTCCTTCTGTCCTTGTTTAACCCTGAAGGGACAGTCCAGATTGTCTTCATGGAGCAGACTCCATCAAAGGTTTGGTTCTGACTGAAACTTGTTCTTCATCTTCCTCTTCCTCTGCAGTGTTCAGCAAAGAGCAGGAGAAGAAGAACCTTGAGGAGCACAGCACCCCCCAGTCCGCCTTCCTGGGCCCCACCCTGTGGGACAAGACCCTGTCCTATGACGGGGACACCTTCCAACTGGAGTACATGGACCTGGAGGAGTTTCTGTCCGAGAATGGAATCTCCTCCAGTCTGTCCCAGCACCAAGCACATGCCCCACCCCACATCCTGCCACAAGCTCCGCCCACACCAAAGCAAACAGTGGTGGCCCTCAGGTGCCACGCTTCCTCGTCCCCTCAGCAGATGGTGGGCTTCTCAAGCCGCTTCCACAGCAGCTCTGCAGGTACCAAACCTTCACGTCTGCTTCTGTGAACTGTCCTGACAGAACCACCAGAGGTCTGGTCCAGACGGAAGCTGTGCTCTGTGGTTCTGCAGGTTCTGCTCCTCTCAGGCAGTGTGTGTGTTTTCATTCATTCAACCTTTATTTCTACAGGTTAATCCCATTGAGCCCCGGGGACTCATTTACAAGAGAGACTTGAATTTAACAAAGAACGATGACAACAGTAGACAACAACAACAACAATCATAAAGGATGCGTACAAATTGAAAAGAACAAGTGAAAATAAAATGGTATTAAAAAGAAAATGTAACAAAAAACAGCTAGATTGTAAGGTCGTGTTAGCAAAACGTAGTCTAGGAAACATGGACGTGAGAGCTGAGCCCCCCAGCCTACTTCTGTCCAGGACGCCATGTATTTAGAACAACACACACACACACACACACACACACACACACGGTGTGTCTGATCCAGATGTGTCTTATCTAGGTGTGTCTAGTCCAGGTGTTTCTAGTCCAGGTGTTTCTGGTCCATGTGTTTCTAGTCCAGGTGTGTCTAGTCCAGGTGTGTCTGGTTCAGGAGTGTCTGGTTCATGTGTGTCCGACTACCAGCGGTGCTCCGCTCCATCAGACCAGGTGTACCAGTGTGGTTACCATGGTAACAGAGTGTTGTTTGTTGAACAGTGACCTGAGATGAAACTGAAGATGGACTCTGAGGAGACCTGTTGGTTTCCGCCAACCAGCTGTAATCTGCTGCTCCAATCAGAACAGAGAAACTTAATCTTTAGAATAATCTGACACGTCTCTGAGACAGAACCTGGACTGGGTTTCAGCTCAAACAGCTGATCCGTGGTTCTGTGAGGTCTGAGCTGAGGTCCAAACAGGACCATTCTCATCCGATGTCCTCTCTGTCAGCAGATGTTCTGCTAACAGAACCAGAGCTGACCCACAGCTTGATGTTTCTGTTCTTCTTAAGTCATGGAAGAAGATTCAAGTCAAGAACAGAAAAGTAACGAGTCACAAAGATTCTTTAAAGGTTCCTCAGATGGGTCTGAGTCTGAGAGAACCCTCAGAGGGTCCATTGTCATCACAGCTGCTGGTTCTGACTGAAACACAAACAGACGCAACAGAAACCCAAAGAACCCAAAGGCACGAGCCTCCCCGGTCCCATTGCAGCAGATGGGTTTCTGGTCTCCATGGGAACCTTCAGGATCCAGGAGACGGAGCGGATCAGTTCCTCAGGAACGGGTCAGAGTCACGTTTACGGCGCCACACATGTAACTCCACAACAACCCTCGCTGAGCTTTGGTCTGCTCCGATGTCCTCAGAACCGTCCTGGGTCCTCCGTCCTGAAGGTTCAGGAACAAGAACCAGAGGGAGTCTCTGCAGATCCACAGGAGCTCAGTGAGAATGACTGAGTCAGAGGAGGAGTCTATCCGGTCAGGAAGCCTCATTTTGGAGGTTTTCTGAGTCTGTCCCTCAGGGAGGAGGTCCCGGGACAGACCCAGAACTCTTTGAGGGGTTTATAGATTCTCTCTGGTCTGGGGACACCTTGGGGTCCTCCAGGAGGGGCTGGAGAGGCTCTGGTTAAAGGGAAGCTTGAGCTTCTCTCCTGGACCTGCTGTTGCAGCAGATGAACGTTAGAGCACGGAGAAGTTTTAGTTCCTGGTTCTGAATCCAGTCCTTGAATCTGTAGGAGTTTCAGCCGAACTCCGCAGCCAGACCAGCCTAATAAAGAGTTAATAAACAGTTAATAAAGAGGTAATAAGATGGTTATAAGCACTCTATAGACATTAATAAACAGGTTCAAGTTCTGCTGGACCCCTCAGTCCTGTGGTCCACCTTCATCATCCGTCGTCTTCATCTTTTATCAAAAACAAACAGGAATTGAACAAAAATATTAAATTTACCTGAAAAACAAAGTTTTTTTCTGCTTCTGATCAAATGTGAGTCTGCAGCAGTGGTAGGACCACCTAACCATTACTCCCTGTCCTCTGCAGGCCTCCAGGACTCCAGGAACACGCCCAGCCCCACCGACCCAAACTCCGTCCATGTCCCCGTCAGCTACGAGCCCGACCCAGCGGACCTGGCTCTGTCCAGCGTTCCGGGCCAGGAGATCTTTGATCCACGCAAACACAAGTTCTCCGCCGAGGAGCTGAAGCCGCAACCGATGATCAAGAAAGCCCGGAAGGTCTTCATCTCCGAGGACCTGAAGGTAACTTGGAGCTGGTGTCGTGGGTTGGGGTTTGGTTCTGCCAGGTTCTCATGTGGCTCTCTGGTTAACAAGCATGATGTCTTTAAATGATTCTGGTTCCGGTTTGTTTTCCTCTCGAGCAGGACGATAAGTACTGGGCTCGCCGCAGGAAGAACAACATGGCTGCCAAGCGGTCCCGCGACGCTCGCCGGCTCAAGGAGAACCAGATCGCCATCCGAGCCGCCTTCCTGGAGAAGGAGAACTTTGCTCTGAGACAGGAAGTGGCCTCCCTGAGGAAAGAGCTCGGGCGCACCAAGAACGTCCTCGCCAAATATGAGTCTCTGTGAGGAAGACCACAATGAAGACCTCGAGTCTTTACACACCAGCAGTCCTGGCTTCACTCGGTCCCCAGTCCCGGGGCTCGACTCGCAGCAGTTGAACACATCATCCATGAAGCAGGGAGTAGTTTGTTTTATTTTGTTTAGGCATCAACTTCCTGCTCTCAGGTCTCCATGGCAACAGTTAACCTGCTGCGAGTCCAGTCTCTGAACAAACAAGGACATCCTGATGTCCCCAGTTGGTCCTGTGAGTCCTCCTTCTCATCTTCATCATGTCCCAGACTCCGCCCTTGGCAGGTGTGCTCCCATCTGTACACACCCACCTCCTGACCACGCCTTCTGTCGCGTTCCTATTGGTCGATTTAATTTATTTATTATTCTTCTGTTTGTCAGTTTGTCGAACTGTGTCTGACGTTTCTGTAAAATGAAATATTTTTAAAAAACTAATTTTATTCATAAATTAAGCTCCTGGCTCACCAAAAGGTTTTTCTACATGCCTGAAAACGTTCAAAGGTGTAGAAAAGCCTTCAAGTTAGCTTTAAATCCAGGCGGGAGGGCGAGTCCGTCCTCTGTCACGAACAGAACCTGTTGGTTCTGTCTTTAATCTCAGATCAGAACCTCATGGTTCAAACGAGTCTTCACTCAGGGTCAGAACCGTAGACTTTGTTCAGAACATTCAGTTGTAAAGTTTCCATTCTGTCTTTAATGTTTGATTCATGACCGTAACAACAAGCCAATCACAACGTTTCACGCTGAAAGTTGCAGCAAACAAGTTCGTGTTTTGTCTTTTCAAGATATTTTTTAACTAAACTCCTTCTGGACAACAGAGAAGGAAAACACTTCAAAAATGTTGGAATAAAATTTTTATGATAAACTGTGCAAACCAAAATTTTCTTTACCTCTGCCCAATGTTCCCGCCTCTCTTTTGGGATAAAACAAAACCCCACCCCTTTTTGGGTGTAAACTATTTACTTTGGGTGTAAATGGAAATACTGAAGCGTTTGACTTGATTAATATGCAAACATTTGGAGCTAACAGCTTATTTCTAAATAAAAAATATATTTCCCATCATCGTTGGTTTAGCTCTGCTGTGGACAGGATCTGAAGACAATGTAAATGTCGGGGGTGGACTAGATTTTTTATTGCCATTAAGAAAATTAATTAATTTTTCTCCTTAAACTGAATCAGAAGACTCAACTGAACTAAACTATCCTCTGGGTTCTGTTCAGCAGTAACCTTGGTAGGAACCTCCTGTAATGTACTTTTCTGACACCAGGGGGTGGAGTCAGATCTGTCCTGAGGGTTTGACCTGAACCATCTCACCTCCAGCATCTTGTATGAACACAGATTTCTATTTCTGATCATTTTTCAGGACATTGTGCTCAGCTTTGGGTTCTCAGTAATCAGATGAAGGGATTTTTAGACCGAGCGGGAACCTTTAGTCACTTTTTAAGGAAATGTGCAGCGATGATGTGACAGCTTGTGTCCTCCGTCATGTTTTTCATAAGGTCATGTGATAACAGGTTTAACAGAGGTGTTGACAAATGACTGAGCTGAGGATTTTCCATGGTTTTTACCAGTTGTTCAGTTTGACTTCACCTCTTGGTTCTGTTTCAGTAGAACCTCTGACCTAGTTCTGTGATGACTTTAGGACAAAAGTCCCAGTTTACTCCCCAAACAACCAAATTGGTTTGTGTATTTGATGGTCCATGTTCAGATCTGGTCATGAAATAATGAGAACAAGTGCTAAATGAAACCAGGGTTATATCCGAGCCAAAATTAGTTGTCTCGTTAAACACAAGTATATATAGTCAGAATATACAGTATATACCATATATCCATCCATCCATCCATCCATCCATCCATCCATTATCTTCCGCTTGTTCCAAAATGCTGGTAAAGATTCTCAGTCATCCAGATCATGGTAAATCCAAAAAAGTTAAAAATGAAACAACTGGACTTTATTTGTATCCTTCTCGTCCAAAGACAAGACGCGAAACGTCGCTTTGCTTGTTCTGGACTCAGGTCTCAGGGCAGCAGCTTGAGCAGGGAGGTCCAGACATCTCTCTCCACAGCCACCTCTTCCAGCTCTTCTGGGAAGACACCAAGGTGTTCCCAGGATAACTGAGAGACTATGTCTCTCAGTTATCCTGGGCCTTCCCTGGGGTCTCCTCCCATTTGGACATGCTTGGAGCACCTTCCTAGGGAGGCTCTCAAGGAGCATCCTAACCAGAGTTCATGACCAGAGGTGAGGGGAGGAACGTATATATATATATATATATATATATATATACAGATTAATGTACTGTATATACAGTATATTAATATATACATACTGGTATATATGTATACATCATACATATATATACATCCGAACAGAACCTATGAAAATCGTGCTGCTGTTGTTCCGTGTATTGTTTTGCATCATTAGTGACTGGTGTATATCTTAGATCTTTAGTGTACCGTTGGGCGTTCCTTTAGCGTATATCTTACTTTATATCTTAGATCCTTATTTACCGTTTCTTTTTACACTTTATATTTTTGTTATTGTTCGATGTAACTGGGACTCTGTGTACATAATTTGGTTCCACCTCATGTACCTCATGTGATGCAAATGACAATGAAGAACGTTGAATCCTTATGTATTTGTCTTTTGTGTAGGATTGAAGCGGGCAGCTGATAACCTGGTTGGTGTGAGTTTATTGTTTGTCAGCATAAATGGAGGGAAGGACCGGTTGCACAATAACAAACAAGGAAAACACAAGTTACATTAACAAGAGTTCATCGTCAAAGTCAAAAGACAACTGTTACAGAATTTTTGGACAAAGGATATGAATGTTTTTGTATTGTGGCTGAGAACATCTGTCCCAGCGAGCACGAGAACGTGCTGCTCTGCCGTCTCCCAAAACGCTCTCTTATCTCAGACAGGAGGCCGAGTCTCCCTGACGCCCATCAACCATACCTGCAGGCTCTTGTGAGTTGGGACAGCAGCTGCATGAGCATCAAGGAACACCACTGATCTCCACTGAACTCTTAATGTTATAAAAGTCATCAGAAGTTTCAGGCTCCATTCTGCAACTGGGTACGCACACAAGCGTATCTACGTACCAGTATGTGACCTGTCCTGAATGCAGCCCGTGCGAGTAAAGCCAGTAAAAGTTCCTCACCTGCCAGGAACTGTGCATCTTTTGAGTAAACAACGTTAGCGAATGAGAACTTTTCCAAACAACATTAATGTTAATGTTAATGTCATTTTAATGTTTTCTTGCTTAAGTAAGCAAGAAAACATTAAAGTGACTTTTAAAATTAGAAACGGAGACAAGAGAGGTGAGACCCAACGTGTTCTGAAGCAGATTCCAGTCAGCTGGAGCTGCAGAGGCAAAGTGAGATTTGGTCTCACTGTTACAGTTGTGAAGTCCACCGAGGTGGGCACGGTCCCTCCTCCATGACCAAACCACACAGTTCCAGTTTTCTTGGCATTTAAGACACAATGAAGTTAATAAAGGTCTGCAGGATTTCAAGCAAACTTCAAGCAAGAGACTTCACCTCCTCATCTGGAGCAGAACCAAAGCAGATCAAATAGTCATCAGCATATAAATGAAACCACACCCAAACTGTACTTTTACTAAAGTCATTGGGGGTTGATGGTGTAGAGAAGTTTTTTCAGTGCATTTTTTTCTGCTTTAATCCCTGGGATTATTTAATCTCTGGTATCATTTAATCTTGTGCATCTTTTTCCTTCTTTGTCGGTCAGGCAGAAGTTTTACGGTGAGTCCCTCTCAGACTTCTTCCTCATGTTCTGAACTTGTTTTCTAATTTTCTGAGACACCAAACTGGTTTTTCAATTTGTAAGCCATAATCATCAAATTACAAGAAATTAAGGCTTGAAATATTCCTCTCTGTGTGTAATGTCTTAAATGAGTTTCACTTTCTGAAAGGATTGACAACAAAAGTGAAACTTTTTCACGACATTCTAATTTTTCAGATGCAAATGAACAAACTAAAGCTGAATGAGTGCCATTGAGTGACACACAGGATGTGCTTGGTTGTAAAAAAGCAGGAACCTCCAAACATTTTCTATATTTATACTTTTTTTTGTCTTAAATTTAATTCAAGGTGTCTTTAAAAAGGTCTTAAAAAGTCTTAAATTTGTCTCGCTGAAACCTGCAGAGCCCCTGGTACAGCTGTGCGCCTGCTTTCTGTTCATTCATCACTTCCTGTTTATTTTAACAGGCTGACAGTTAATCTGGACGTAGAACCTGGTTCCTGCAGTTCTTACCTTCTTTAAAGCCTCACTGATGACTGGATGTTGAAGCGTTCAGTTACAGATTGATGATGATGATGTCCAACTGTGTGGACACTTTGGACTCCATTTGGACCCTTTGAAATATGCATGGACATACTCTCATAAAATGTGTCCAGAATAATCATTTTTGGTGCCAAATGTGAACTAAAGGAAAAACTTGATGCTGCAGCCTCGTATAATCTTCCATTCCATCCCTCCATGTGCAGCAACGTAGAAGAACAATTGAAAAATAATTTGAGAACAAAAATCTGATTTTTGTGTTTCAACTTCAACAACTACACTTTAGTTAGTTACAATGTTTATGACAAAACTCCCGAGAGTTACCGTTACAGAGACCACTTAGAATTTACTCCAAGAACAGCATTTAAATTAATTTGGTTAATTTTATTCAGGCATTTCGTGGGTCACCATGTAAAATTGTGAGGTGTTTGTTGTTTAAAAGGTTTGGTTTGTTTCCATCTTCCTGCTCGTGTCCACCACCTGCCGTCTCTCCTGTACAGTCCGAATAATAAAAAATAAACCAACAAACTTTACATCTCAACTTTTATTATCAAACAGATTTTTGTTTATTGTGAAAAAACTGTCTTTGAACACAGAGTTAGAGTTCATATTTTCATTTGCCAGAAGATAATGTGTAAAAACTAAAAACTGTAATTCCTCCTCTGACCACCAGGAGCAGCAGAGCTCCACTCACCTCACCTGAAGCTCCTGTTTGTAAAAACAGAAAACTAGTTTGTCTGGTTTATGTTTGAGAAAGAACATACTTTAGTTAATTAGTTTAATTAGTTTTAAACTGCAGCAACAAAACATGAAACTTTTTAAACCCTTGGGATGAATTTATCAACACTTCTTCACTTTCTGTCATCACCTGAAAACAAACCTAAACTACATTTTGTTTTGCAAGTTTTATTAAATAAACTGATTCTGATCCAGAAATGACTGAAAGTAAAACTTCAGAGCTTCAGTCCGTCTGGTGAGCTGGAGAACAACATATCATCATCTGACCAACGTGACCTCTGAGTCCCTGCTGTTTTTCATAAAATCTCCTCAGTAAATTAAAGTTTGTCATTTTTAGGACCTGGTTTTAGACTGAACAGGACAACTGGTCGTCCAACTCTTGGACAAATGAATGTTTGACCTCTGAAGTGGTTTTTGGCTTACACTGAACCCCTGATGGTTCTGAACCCCTCAGTTCTGGTCTGGTCTTCAGGGCAGGAACATCTCTCTGAGTGACTTTCAGACGTTCAGCCTGAAAACCACCAAACCTGTGAGATCTGAAGCTTATGTAACCCCCTCCCCCCAGACAGAACCAAACATGAAGTCCTAATACTCTGTGCTGCTCAGATTATAATCCCTGACATGAAATATGAAATGTGGGGGGAGGGGGGCAGTCACTGGTGGCTCGCTCAGTTGGCCTGGCTGTTGTAAATTTATGTAAGAGGATTTGTTTCTGCGCTGGTGGCACGGCTTCTGTAAAGACTTTGGGTTGGGTCATATGTCAGAGAAGGTCGGGAGCTGGATGGAGACTTTTAGGTGGAGGAAAACCAGGAGACCAGGATGGAAGACCTGAAGAGTTCTCAGACGTTTTAAAGGTTTAAATGGAACAAAAACATAAAACTGATGTTAAAATGTGGTGATTTTATTCTGATGAGACGCAATCCATCCTCCAGATTAAATGGAGCTGAAATGGATTTATGACATTTATTGTCTCTAAACATACAGACGTCCTCTGGTTCTGGACTCAGGACTTGGGGGCAGCAGAAGGATCAGGGAGGTCCAGACTTCTCTTTCCACAGCCACCTCTTCTGGAGGACTCCAAGGTGTTCCCAGACCAGCTGAGAGACATAGTCTCTCCAGCTTGTCCTGGGTCTTCCTTGGGGTCTCTTCTCAGTTGGACATGTCCAGAACACCTCCCTAAGGAGGAGTCCAGGGAGCATCCTTACCAGATGTCTGATCCACTTCAACTGGTACTTCTGGATGTGGAGGAGCGGCAGCTTTACTCAGAGTCTCTCCTTGAGAACTGAACTTCTCACCTTCTCTCTAAGGGAGAGTCCAGCTACCCTGCAGAGAGGACTCATTTAGACCTCTTGGATCCAGGATGTGGTTCTTTCAGTCTCTAGCCAGAGTTTAGGACCACTGGTGAGGGTAAGAACATAGACTGGTAAACTGAGAGCTTCTCTTTGCAGCTCTGCTCCTTCTTCACCACAATGGACCAGTACAGAGTCCACAGTACTGTGGAAGCTGCACTGATCCGTCTTGTTAATCTCACGCTCTGATCTTCTCTCACTGAGAATCAAACACTGAGATACTTGAACTCCTCCACTTGAAGCAGATCCTCACCCCCACAAAACATCTGTTGGTGAGCATGAAGACAGTAACTCTGTGGTGTCCATCGCCACAATGTTGATCAATAGATCGTCAACCATCTTCGTCCAAATGGAGGCTCCATCTTGGACTGGGAGCTCCATAGTTTGATCATGCTCCCAGAGATGGTTCAGATGTTCCACCAGTTTTGGGATCAGGATGATTTGAAGACTAGATTACGCCCTTGGACTAGCTGGCTGTGGCTGGACCTCCTCAGGTTTTCCATGAATGTTATTGAATGAAATGATCCACCGTCTGGACGTGACAACATGACTGATGTTTTCACTGTTTTGAGTCAACATCATCTCCATCCTGTGGACCCTGTAGTTACAGTAAACTTTAAAGACAAAGCAGCTCTTTACAAACCTCATGTTCTCCTGGAAGACCTCAGCCTGATAGCCCCAAAGACCAGACCCTTAGAACCAGAACCTGAAACTAAACATGCTTCATGATGATGTATGTTCTGGAAGTTCTGGATCAAGTAGTGACTGGTCCAATCCGTGGACTAACCTGAGCCAAAGAAATCAAAAGAATTATCTGGTCACTACATTCAAACAGAAACTCGCAGAGGCCTCCTCCATGTTTTCTACCCC